GGGAAAGGACTGTGATGAGGGGACAGAATAGTCTGAGAGCTAGAAAAGGGAATGGAGGGTGAAAGAGAAAATGGCTCAGGAGTGGAGGGTAACAAGAGAGACATTTGTAATCAATGTCCTACGTTACTTCAGATTAAGCTCAAGCAGGGAGGGAGCTGAAGGTAGGAAATTACAACATTCTGAAGTCTTCAGCAAATCTTAGCAGATAGTCTCCTCACCATCCTGTCTTTAGAGAACAGGGTCGCTATTTCGGTAGTTTATTTTTGTATAATTCTTTACATCTTAGTTCACAGATTCTTTAAAAAAGTTAAATGGCTGGTTTTTATAGCTGTTTATCCTGTAATCAGTAGTAACTTTCAATTAACCCAGAGAGTCAAAAAGTCTTTTATTAAAAATCATTTCAAGAAGTCCCGCCGTTATTTCTCTAGAATTCCAGTGCTGCTATTTTCTCTATTGGATTTTTTAAAAGGTTGATTTCTAATCCTTCTGGATACGTACTAACTTATTTTTTAAATTCTCCCTTCTCTTTCAGAGATGGGGAACAGTAGATATTCATGCTCCCCAAGCTTCAGAAGCGAGACACCCTCATACTAATGTTTTCATGGTGGAAAATTTTCCTGCTGCTATCCCATGGCTTGACAAAACTGGGATATGCTTAAAATTCTACTGTTTTCTTTTAAAACCTTTTAAGTATATTTTAATGTTTTATTATGGAGTAATTACTGAAGAGACTTGAGGAGAATTAACAGATTAAAAAATCAAACTGAATTTTTTTGTTTTCTGCTTATAAAGATAACATGTTTGTTTAGCAGAGATTTCAAAATATATGAGAATAATTTTTTTTAATTCCTGAAGATGAATTAAAATGTACAGTTTTGTATATATATTTTAAACGAGTTTTTCCTGGAATATTCGTTGAATTGCTAGTTTTAATTAAGGACTCTATGCTATCTCAGAGTCTGGGGTGAACGAGGGTTATGGATTTTACTTAGAATTGAGTGTGTGACTGTTCTTGAGACAATAGACAGGCATTTTGAACTATTCTCACTTCTCTACCAGTTAGTATGGTGAAATTCACATTGATTTCAAACTCTTCCTGCAGTTTTTTGAGTTTTCCAATTCCAAATTCCGCTCTATTGCTTGGAGTTTTCAACTCTAAATTCATCAGCTTCCTTTATTCCCTGATTCCCCTCTGTCTTTAAGGGAATAACAGCCTCTCATATATCCTACTGTTGCTGTGTTTTTCCCATTTCTCTTCTTTTCATATCTACTTTTACAGATTTAGGGGTACAAGTGCAGTTTTGTTACATGATTATATTGTGTAGTGGTTAAGTCTGGGCTTTTAGTGTAACCATCACCCAGATAATGTGTATTATACCCATTAGGTAATTTCTCATCCCTCACCCCTTCCCACCTCACCTTTCCAAGTCTCCAATGTCTATTATTCTGAATTCTGTGTTCATGTGCACACATTATTTAGCTCCCACTTATAAGTAAGAATATGCAATATTTGACTTTCTGTTTCTAAGATATTTCACTTAAAATAATAGCCTCCAGCTCCATTCATGTTGTTGCAAAACACATGTTTTCATTTTTTTTTTATGGCTGAGTAGTATTCCATGGTGTATGTACACACAAAAACCACATTTTCTTTATCCAGTCATCTCTTAATAGACACTTAGATTGATTCCATATCTTTACTATTGTGAGTAGTGCTGTGATAAACATATGAATGCAGGTATCTTTTTGATATAATAATTTCTTTTCCATTGACAAGATACCCAGTAGTGAGATTATTGGATAGAATGGTAGTTCTATTTTTAGTTATTTGAGAAATCTCCAATGTTTTCCATAAAGGTTGTACTAATTTTTACTTTCACCAACAGTGTATAAGCATTCTCATTTCTCAGCATCTTCACCAAAATCTGTTGGGTTTTTACTTTTTTTGTTTGTTTGCTTTTGAGATGGAGTCTCGCTCTGTTGCCCAGGCTGGAGTGCAGTGGCGCCATCTCAGCTCACTGCAAACTCTGCCTTTCTTCTGCCTCAGCCTCTCGAGTAGCTGGGACTACAGGTGTCCGCCACCATGCCCGGCTAATTTTTTGTATTTTTAGTAGAGACGGGGTTTCACCGTTTTAGCCAGGATGGTCTTGATCTCCTGACCTCGTGATCTGCCCGCCTTGGCTTCCCAAAGTGCTGGGATTACAGGCATGAGCCGCTGCACCCGGCAATTTTTTACGTTTTAACAATAGTCATTCTTACTAGTTTAAGATGGTATCTCATTGTGGTTTTAATTTGTATTTTCCTGATGATTAGTAATTTAAGTCCTCAAATCCCACTACTTTCTCTTTACTTCCTCTTTCTTGCCACTCCCTCATTATTTGAACAATAGAGTTGGGAATGTGGTATTCTGAAAATCCAGGATGATGTTTCTTTTTTGTATGAAAATACTTCTCATTTGGGGGAAATTTTAAACACTCCAAAGAACGTTTTCGTTATGGAGAGGAAATCAATTATATTTCCACACACTCTGTTTGTAAGCTCTATGACACTCCTTTTCCCCTCCACACATACAATCATTTAAATTATGAATTCACTTTGGGGATAGAAGGCAGACATTTTTCACCTGGCCTCATTTGCAAACAACTTAATACCCTAAGATGCCCATAATATTTATAATTCACTCTTTGCTTTCATTCCCATCTAGGCTGTTATTTTCAAATCACATCTCTGGACTGAAAGTAAATGATGCCTGAGGATATTTTAATGTGTTCTCTCTCTTCCCATATTGGGTGGGAAGGCTGGGATTTGCAAAGACTGGAGCCTTTGTGGTGCCTACAGATTGCCACCTGGGTATGCAGGCCTCTGACTGCTGCCCTCTTTATCCTCTCATGTTCAGAAGTCAATAGAACTTTCTTTCCTTTGATTTCCCTAAATTTCTCTTGTCCTCAGTCTGCGTTACTGGAAATAGAATCTCTAGGATGACTGGAATAAGAGAAACGATAAAATGTTTCTTTTATGGAATGGATTGGAATAGGTACAGATTATAAATGGATTGGAATAGACACATGTCAGTTTGATAACAAAATCATGAAACTTATGTTTGTCCTTAATACCTTGTTCTCTATTATACTTCCTCCTGATTTCCACCAGCTGAAAGGCTGTCATCTAAAAGAAAGATTTTTAAAAAACTTATTAACTGGAGGATGAATGAGTGGAAACTACAGGAAGCCAAATCTTGGCTCATAAAAGGAACAAACTGCTAAGAGTCAATATGATCCAATGATAGTCTTGATTTCCAGGGGAGGTAGTGATCATAAGCTATTTATTATTAGAGGTGTTCTTGCCTGATTTACATGCTCACTTCTCTCCTGGGCAGGAATGCTATAGAAAGACTCCAAGCCTCAGATTGAGTTTGGACCAGATAAAATAATCTAGAGTTAAAGATGGCCCACATAGGGAGTGCCAAATTCACTCACAAGGAAATGCAGATGGGTGCAAAGGGTAAGAGAATAGCTTTAGAGACAGGAGTTGGAGGGCAATAACAGAACCTGTGGCATTTTGTAGTCTATGAAGAACAGAATTCTTCTCTGATCAATTCATATGGGTTTAGGTTAAGGAAGATATGGTGTTAAACATTAAGTATTAATTGAGATTTTATCTTTTTGTAAGACTTTTGGGTACAGTAGCAGTTACAAAAATTTAAATCCTGTGCTAAATGAACTTTTAGTCTTTTGGGAAAGAGAAAGTGCATACCATAAGATAATTGATGATCAATTCAAGGCAGCATGTATTTCCACATTAGGTATCAGATGGGTGGGGCCATCCCTTCTTTCACTCTTGTTACCTTGGATCTAGCTTATATAATACTATTTAAATTTAGCTTGAAACATACCACCTTATTGTTTAAAAGCCTTCAGATGTGCCTTGCTGCCTATAGAATGAAGCTCTAGTTCCTTCTTGTGACAAGCAAGGTCCCCAGACTCTGATCCTTTCTCTCCATATCTTCCCCCATTCACCCCAATCCTAATGCTCCCTCAGAATCGAGGGGATTTTTTGAGCTACCCTTGGCTACTTACCCCCTGCTACCTCTTTCTCCTCCTCACAGCCAATGTTGTTTCTTGCCTCAGTGTGTACTCATGGTTTTCCTTTTACCTGAAATGCCCTCACCTCCATTCTTTCCATTTTCCACTTCAATCGCTAGTCAGTTCAGCATCATTTCTTCCCAGTACTATTTCTTTCAGGTTGAACTCATTAACGCTCTTTTGGTGTATTGCAATTTTCTGTTGATATGTCCATCTGCCACACAACAGTGTAAGCTCCTTAAGAGTATGAACCAGTTTTGTTTGGCCCACTTTCCTCAGAAACAGATGTAATATCTTCTGAACACCAGATCCTTAGTACATGATTGGGAGAGAAATAAAGGGCTCCATTAGTCAAGGGGGATTCTTGGTAGAGATGAGTCTTAAGCTGGGTCTTTGAGGGTTTAACATTAGCAATGAGCAGAGGTATGGAAAATGGGATTCCATTCAAAAGGCAGATTTGATCTTAGGCAAAACTACAAAACAGTATGCTGTGAAGGCTCCCAGCACCGTGCTCCCTGAGGCATCTAGTTTTTCACCTCTTAGGCAACTGATGTTCTAGACTGTTTGTGTTAAAGATAACTTACATTTTTGTGATAATAAATATAATGTATCTTTATTAATCCCATATTCTAAAAAGTAACTCTGTTAATATTATGTATTTATAATATTTATTTATATATCTGCTTTTTTTCCTCTACCATTCTCAACTGTTTCTAATCATTCCCTGTATTCTCTCTCATTGTCTTCAGTTAATAAACATGCATTGCTTTGAATAGCATATGAAAAACTTCCAGCAGGTGCAGCAGAGCCATTTTTAGATATTTAGAAGTGTCATGCTCAATTACAACTCTTTGCTTTTACATATACTTTCCTGCCAGGGTTGCCCTGCCTGGTCTGGTTTCCTGTCTTTTGCCTGGCCAACTCTTAATTGGCCCTCAAAACTTAGCCTACTTGCTTCTATCTTCAGAAAGCCTTCCCTGACCTTGACCCCATACCTTCTGCCCCACAACCCTAGCCTGGGTTTGGTCCTTCTCTGCTCCCACAGCACCGACTTCCTTCTCTATTACCATTTATCACATTTTCACTACCACCTCCTGAATGACTTGAAGAAATTACTATTTAAGGAAGGCAAAAAGTGGAGAATATATAAGAATTATCCAAGGAACAGTTGGTAAGATATCACTGATTGGGAGATGGGGAATTAAAGAGGGGCTTGAGATAATGAGAAGAATGAGATAGTGACCATGGGAATTAGACAGAATTCTCAAACCAGTCACAGAGGAATTGGTTGTGATTGAGGAAAATAAAAGAGTTTGTGGTTGTGGGCCATGTCTCTCTATCACACATTTGGAGAATATTACACTGGTGCACAAGAAGAAGGCTGTGGCTGACTATATAGATAAGAATAATAGAGCTGATTATGTGATAGAGGTAGTAGATTGAATTAATGGGGTAAAGGTCTTTGAAAGACTAAAATTATGAATTTGGATAAACTCTTTTGAGCCTTAAAGAATACGCACAATTAAGGAAGGCAGGGAAGGTGAGAGTTGGGGAAGGAATGACAACTAAGAAGGGGGATAGTTGAAGACTTGTGTGAGCGATTCTTGTTTTAGAGACTCATTTTTGTCTTTTTTGCTTTGTTTTGTTTTAGCTCTAATAACCTTAGGCTTGGTATAGAAGATATAGAGACACGCTAAAATTTCTCCCCCAATTATTGCCAAGCAGAAATTTGGATGATCGACATGGAAATTATCCCCACAGGAAACAAAACTATTACTGAATTTGTCCTCCTTGGCTTCTGTGACATCCCTGAGCTGCATTTCTTGTTCTTTATTGTATTCACTGCTGTCTATGTCTTCATCATCATAGGGAATATGCTGATTATTGTAGCAGTGGTTAGCTCCCAGAGGCTCCACAAACCCATGTATATTTTTTTGGTTAATCTGTCCTTCCTGGAGATTCTCTACACATCCTCAGTGATGCCAAAAATGCTGGAGGGCTTCCTGCAAGAAGCAACCATCTCTGTGGCTGGTTGCTTGCTCCAGTTCTTTATCTTTGGCTCTCTAGCCACAGCTGAATGCTTACTGTTAGCTGTCATGGCATATGATCGCTACCTGGCAATTTGCTACCCACTCCACTACCCACTCCTGATGGGGCCCAGACGGTGCATGGGGTTGGTGGTCACAACCTGGCTCTCTGGATGTATGGTAGATGGACTGGTTGTGGCCCTGGTGGCCCAGCTGAGGTTTTGTGGCCCCAACCACATTGACCAGTTTTACTGTGACTTTATGCCTTTAGTGGGCCTGGCTTGCTCGGATCCCAGAGTGGCTCAGGTGACAACTCTCGTTCTGTCTGTGTTCTGCCTCACTATTCCCTTTGGACTGATTCTGACATCTTATGGCAGAATTGTGGTGGCAGTGCTGAGAGTTCCTGCTGGGGCAAGCAGGAGAAAAGCTTTCTCCACATGCTCTTCCCACCTAGCTGTAGTGACCACATTCTATGGAACGCTCATGACCTTATACGTTGCACCCTCTGCTGTCCACTCCCAGAACCTCTCCAAGGTCTTCTCTCTGCTCTACACTGTGGTCACCCCTCTCTTCAATCCTGTGATCTACACCCTGAGGAACAAGGTGGTACATCAGGCACTTCGGAAGATTCTCTGTATCAAACAAACACTTGATTGAAGAAGTGTAATGAAGAAGATTTTATTTTGGACTTCAGACACCTCCATTGGGAATTCTTCCAGGATGGGCTGGAGAGGAGTAACTTGGTCTTATTCGATCATTCTCTTTGAACTCTTCTGTAGTTATACTAAAAATGAAAATGATAGAGCAACAATTTTTTAAACTTTTATTTTAAGTTCAGGGGTACATGTGCAGGTTTTTACATAGGTAAACTTGTGTTATGGGGGTTTGTTGTACAGATTATTTCATCACCCAGGTATTAGGCCTAGTATTCATTAGTCTCCTGATTTTCTCCCTCCTCCCACCCTCCACCCTCAAGTAGGACCCGGTGTGTGGTGTTCCCCTCTATGCATCTATATGTTTTCATAATTTAGTTCCCACTTATGAGTGAGGACATACAGTATTTGATTGTCTGTTCCTGTGTTAGTTTGCTAAGGATAGTAGCCTCCAATTCCATCCATGTCCCTACAAAGGACATGATCTATTTTTTATGGCTGCATAGCATTCCGTGGTGTATATGGACCACACCTTCTTTATCCAGTCTATCATTGATGGGCGTTTAGGTTGATTCAATGTCATTGCTGTTGTGAATAGTGCTGCAATGAACATACACGTGCATGTGTCTTTATAATGGAATAATTTATATTCCTTTGGGTGTATACCAAGTAATGGGATTGCTGGGTGGAATGGTATTTCTGTTTTTGGTCTTTGCGGAACTGCCACACTGTCTTCCACAATGTCTAAACCAATTTACACTCCCACCAACAGTGTATAAGCATTCCTTTTTCTGCACAACCTTGCCAGCATCTGTTATTTTTTGACTTTGTAGTAATAGGCATTCTAACTGGTGTGAGATTGTATCTCATTGTGGTTTTGATTTGCATTTCTCTAGTGATCAGTGATGTTGAGCTTTCTTTCATATGCTGTTGGTTACCTGTATATCTTCTTTCGAAAAGTGTTGTTCATGTCCTTGGGCAACAATTTTTAAGTGCTAGTTTAAAAAATTATTTAAACTTTGATTAGTTCTTTATTAAATATGCCATAAATATTTAAAAATAGGTACACAAAACAGCAATACCAAAATAAATCTAGAAATATTGTTTTTTATATTATTGTTGTATGACATTTTAAAATTTATTTCTATGTGCATTTATATTTATACATACAACTTGGATCATGGAGTTTGTAATCTGGGTTTTCACTGAACACTGTGTCACGAGCAACTTTTTCTGTTAATAAGCATCTATTTCTTTATTCTTCTGGGCTTCATTGTGTGGCTGAACATGATTTGTTATTCTATTTTGGGAATTTTTAATTGTATTCCGTTCTTTTACTGTACATTGTTTACATCTGGATTTTCCTGTAATAAGCTTTTAGCACTTAAATTGCAAGATTTAAGGATATGTGTTTTTAAAAATCTAAAGCTGAATTCCTTTTACTTTTAAACTTTTCTTGTAGAACATTTCAAACATACACAAAAGAGAAGAGCATAGTGAACCCCCATGTGCTCCATGTAGCCATCACCCAGCTTCAACATCAACATTTTGCCAATCTTATTTTAATTAGCTACAGTTCCTTGTTTGTTTTCATGGAAAATTTTAGGGCAAATTCCAGATGTTGTGTAAGTATTATGTTGTGTAAGTTGTGTTTGTACATACTCCACATGTAAGTATTTAGTATGATCTGTGACTGATAAAGACATTTTAAAAAACCATGCCCACCATATCATTATGATACTTAGCACAATCATCAGTATTTCCTTTATATCATCTAATACACAAGCCATGTACAAATTTCTCCATTGATCTTTAAGTAATTTCTTAAAATTAAGATCTAAACAAGGTTCACACAATGCATTTTGTTATTGTCTTTCCAGTCCCTTTATAACATAGCAGACCCCACTTTTTTGTCATGCCATTGACTTAAGTTGCTATGTTATTTTTATTGAATCATGTCCTGAGACACATGATATTTGGTTGTCCCACTCTTAGAGATGCTATTTGTATTATTGACCAGTGAGTTGAAGTGGTATCAGTCAGATCTATCTATTACTCAGTTTCTAATTAACATTTTCCCTAATATTTTAATCATCAATTGAGGAAAGGTGATGATTAATTCCTAGAGTGATTTAGTTCTTTGAATGTATTTCCCTTTAGTGTTTTGAATCTATTTAATCCTTTGAATGTATTTCCCTTTAATGTTTTGAATCTATTTAATCCTTTGAATGTATTTCCCTTTAATGTTTTGAATCTGTTTGTAAACAATTCTTGTAAAATCTTTGTCTGCACATTCCTACACTTAGGTCATATCAGATTCAATTATTATTGATTTCTTTTTTTCTTGAATATTGATAATATTTTGTCATGCTTTTGTATGATTAGTGTATTTCATTGAATTCAAGTTATTGTAGACATTTTGGGTATTTTCTTCAGAAGAATGTTGGCTTTTTTTGTAGCAGGCGCTAAAAGGAGAATCATTTGAATTTGGGTAGACTTGGTTTTATGCTCTGATGGTATTGATCTGTGGAAAGTTCAAGGTGTTTTGCAAGTCTATATAACTTGAAGGGACTCAATCTCTACTTTCTCTCTTCCTTGTGGACATTGCCAGGGCTTAGTTTAGGTTGTTAAGCCAGATTTAGAGTAGGTTTTACTTACATTTGTGGTCCTTACTCTTAAAGCTTGGTCTTTGGGTGTCTCCACTGGGTGGCAGTGGTGTTTATGAGGTGTTAATGAGATTTCTCTGCTTTAGTAGGGCAGAGAGGACACTGTCTTGGTGCTGCTCTTCCTTAAGCTTGATGTACCTCTGGTATTTGTTTCATTTCAATCCTGTAACAGCTTCTCTCTGGTAAGTCTCAAATAGTGTTGCCCTTCACATGTACAGTCTAGCTACCTGTCATAGCTCACAGATCCCTCCATTAATATATTTCTGAGGTCCCCTCTGCACAACTCTGGCCTCCCTGATACCCTATCCCACGGCTTCTAGTGGCCTCAGCTGCCCTAAATTTACTATGATTTTTATTTTGTTAGATCAGTGAGACTGCTGTGGTCTTCTGCTTGGGCCACAGCAAGGAAATTTTCCCAGGCAGAGAGCTGAGTGATTATGTGGCTCACCTGTGAGCTGTATTAATTGCTATTCGCTGCCTGAAAGCAATTTCTTCACATACTTTGTCCTGTCTTACAGTTAATTATGCCGGTGAGACTAGTCAAGACTAGTTATGCTATCATGGCCAGAAGCAGAAGCACACCCATAATGTTTTGAAAAATGGTTTTATTTTGGCAAATACCTTATTCAGCAATTGAAATAAACTGTGCATTTGAATATAAAATCTTCACTGATGAAGACTGACCATCTTCTTTTGCACTTTTCACAATGCCTTATTTATGACAAGTGCTCAATATATACTTACAGCATTGGGCTAAATTATATTGAATGATGATGAAGAATATGATAAGGCGGGGAGAATTGTGGTAGTAGCGGATAGGTAGAAGAAGTGCCTAATGATGGTTATTATCAAGTCCTTGTTCCAAAATCCCAAGTCACCACTGTGAATTGTTAAAAATACCCAACCTGATGTAGAAAGATTCTAGCCAAGGTCTGCAGGTTTTTATTCAGGATAAATAATTCTGCCCATTTTATCTTACTTCGGTGGTATTATAAACTATTAATATGAGTTAAAATGTGTATTTTTAACAATTTTTAGCCTACAAACTCTAGGAAAGGAGTTCTTGCACTCCTTACAAATCAGTTCTTATGGGAGAATATTTTCTTTTTATCTGAATATTCTCACTTATTATTTCTAGGTTGGCTAAGTTTGGATTTTGGCTTCTGACCTCAGAAATCTTATAAAATATTTTCCAGTGAAGCACAGAATGAATTGCATATTACATTTTAACTTCCTACTGGTGCCCTGGATTACAGCTACCCTTACTGGTTTCCTGATTCATTGAATTTTTATCTCTGTTACTCACCTCCACAACACTCAGAGGTTGGCTTCCCTTTGATATATTGTTGTTCAGTGACATTCCATGTCCAGCCAAAGAATGGCCATTCAGAGGAAAAAAGTTTATTTGTATCACCACTTCCTGAGGAACAGAAGAAACCGTTTCTAAGGCCAGAGGAGATATATCAACTCAGATTATCCAGTCAGTAATCATTCATTCGAAAATAATTTCTGGACACATGTTATGACAAGTCATTAGATTAGAATTGGAAAGAAAACAATAACTTCTAGATGATCCCCCCAAAATGTCTGGGCTAAGCACAGGTTGTATAGAGATGCTGAACAGAGAATCCAGTCTGAGAATCTCAGGGGCACTCTTCCTAAATTAGATCTGTATTTAATTTATGCATTGAGTTATTCTCCTGAATAGAATTAATTATCAGGTGTTTGTTTAACCGGACCCTGTAATTCATGGTGTACAATAACATGAACTATAGAGGGTGCTACAAATAGACACAATACATAGTCTCTGGTTTGATGTAATACATGACATATGTAGAAAGACAAACTGAACATAACAGACTGTCTGAACTAGTTACATACATTCTCTTCATAATGCAATTCAACAAGTCCTTTCTCTGCATTGCACTTTGACAGTCTGTCTGAAAAAGGAATTCATTCATTGAGTGATGCATTGGCCAGTTGACAATTTTTTCAGAATCAAATTAATAAACATATATAGGAAACATAGTTTTGTTCTATTACAAAACAAGAAGTACTTTTTTTTTTAATTCTTTTACTTTTACCTAGCTTTCAATTCTCAGCCACAGAGTCAGGAACTCCCCACAAACTATCAAGCATAGCACAAGCACACAAATATATAAAACATTCTGAAAAGTGACAGAGTAACAGGGAAGAAACTGCACAGAACCAGTTTCTTTTCTCCTACAAATGGTGATGATACAGGCAACATTAATGGGGCTGGAATTGAAGATACCATGTTCAATATTCAGGCAGCAATGAAGATGACATTGGCTATAGTAAGAGTGATGGTGAGCATCCTCATTGTTAAAACCACTGATTAAAATGCTAATGATGGA